AACCGGTTTCTCTATGATGCAATAATGGATTTGTATATATATATATATATTTTAATCAAACTGAACTTCATTAGATAGGATTTGGTAGTGGAGCAAGTGTTCGAGAAGAAAGTGGTCTTTGAGATTGAAATGATTAGTGCTTTCAATAGAGAAAGGAAGAAATATGAAGATCATCCCAATGCAGTTAAAAGATTTAGACATCAAAAGTTCAGTAGATCCATGCCAGTTTCAAAGGTGTTTGATTAATTGAAAGGGGGGGCTTATTTGGGGTTTGAATCAAGAAGAGGGTTAAGAAGAATAGAAGGGTTGTTAAGAAAAAGAAAGAGACTATTTAGTTCAAATGCAGAAGGCATGGGGTGAGCCTTGTTGCCTTGTGAAGGGCTCTCTGTGTCAATTTTGGTCTATGGGAAGTCAAGTCAAGTGGGAAGTCAATTTTTCTTTTGCCATTGTTTTGTTGGCAGGTAATTCCTTATCACCTYCTTGTATTTCTCTCTCTCTCTCTAAATAAACTTTTCTTCATTTATCTTTGGAAAAAGCTGTAAACAGCATATATAAGGAACATTGCTTGACTGAAAAATTTCCACTCTCACGTAGCTAGCAATATCCCTTTGAGGAAACTAATTTACAAAGGCCTGTACACCCTCAATATGAGAGTACATATCGCAAAACAGCCACATTCCTCCTGCTTAGCCATTGGAGGGGTCCAAGGGGACTTGGTTAATGCTATATATGGTGGGGCCGAAGTGACCTTTTAGTTTTGTGAAGTTTAATTGAATTGAATCAATGATAGATGCGGTGAGTGATGATTGGTGTTGGGGGGACCCATGTATCCATTTGTATAAGTTCTATGTATTGGCAGGGCCCACATATTAGTATTGTTTAGTTTTTGTATTGGTGGCGCTCATACATTTGCGTATTTACATATGTTTTTTATTTATATGTATTTTGACTCTAGATTACTTTGAAATAAAATCTGTAACTTCTTTTTATATCTTTAGCTAGTCTTTAAACATATAAACCTTGATGTATATCATATACAATCTAATTCTTATATTTGTTTTCCTTGTTTTTCAGGTTGAACCAATACAAGAATGATAGAAGGCTTTGTTGAAGATATTAAAGATACAATTTTTTTTTGTGATTTATTATTAGATGTAACAAGAATTTTGTACCTTTTTCCATATTATCAATGTATGGAACTCACATTAAGATGGACCTTTGTTTTTAATATGTTAGTTTTTATTTGAAATTTTGGTGTGATATAGGTGTTGATCAGGTTTTGGTGGTGGATATACGGTATCCATTGCAAATATATTTAATTCTCTTTTAGTGGTGGATATATCCGTCACTAAAATGCATGTTTTTTTTCTGGCGGCAGATATATACATCTGTTTTTTCTTTTTTGGCGGCAGATATCCGCCGCTAAAATGTATAGCTTTTTTCTAGTGGCGGATATATCCACCGTTATATGACGAACTAATGTATTTATAGCGGCGGATATACGAATTAATGACCTTTTAGTAACGAATATATACACCGCAATAGCCATTTTTCCCGCCGCTGTAGATTACTTATAGTGGTGGTTGATTTATACGCTGCTATAACCTATAGCGACAGTGCTTACAGCGGCAAAAATGGATATATCTATAGCCGCAGGTTTTTTAATGTATAGCGGTGGATCTTTCCGCCGCTATAAGCCGATATATATTCAAATGTTTACTATTACAACTACTGGTGATGATTAATTAGAGGTTTTGAGTATTTCTCAGCTTTACAAAATTGAAGGGGAAATCAATATGAAAGAAAAATAAGGAATTGAAGTTTAACAATGGCATTGAAAATTATTAATTATTCAAGTTTTTTTTGTAGAATATTAATTATTCAAGTTAAGAACATAAAAATGTTTATAAATTAATATCACATGGTCAAATAAAAAACATGGTGCATTTACTGCATAGTCAAATAAAAAACATGAACCAATGATAAAACTACATATCACATCTAACATCTTCAATGATAAAACTACATATTGTGAAATGTGAACCAATGAAAGATAAATAGACCATGTGGCATCTTTAATTTGTTGAAATTTTGATGTAAGGTGCGAAAAAAACTGAAATTTAAGGTAGTTGGACTCTTTATGTAATGGATAAAGGAAATTTATTTTAACATTTAAAGTATTTTCTATTTATGAAATGTATTTAAGTTGTAAAGCATTTTATAGTTTTTCCTTGTACAAAAATCAAGATTTACCAACTTTTCTTATTATTTTTTAACTTGAAATATAATGGAGACTAAATCAATGTAACCATGCATGCATATGGAAGATAAGAACATCATCATTAAAAACAGTTTGGCCTAAGGCACTTTTGATGATATAGTGATTAAATGACATTAATTATAAGTTAGTATCCATATATTTAACAATTGACCAAAACTAAGCTTCATCAAGGGCCAAATTTACCCTAATTTCAGTAGGACTTCAACCACATCTGGCTCATTGAAAACTTAGCAGATTAACAACCCAATTCAACCCAAGTTGCATTTTTACTATTGAGAACATGGTTCATTTTCTTTATTATTTATAAATTGTCATTTCTATTTTTCCCCATTTAAACCTTGAAAAAAAAAACCATCTTCTGCACTTTCATTCTATTTGTGACAAGTGTCCCATTTCAAATTTAGTCTCATTCACACACGTGTCATCAGACAACCCATAGGCTTATTAATGAAATTATAGGAAAAACAGTACAGCAGATCCCAACTCCATGAATAGGTGGTTAGAGTTGTCTTTGTGAGAGAGCAATGGAAGAGCTAAAAGGTATTGAGGTGCCCCCCCTCAACTTCCTATTTGTACATTATCATTATAATTGGATGGGAGGGAGCTTGCTTGCTTAACCCATAAGCCATCCATCATGATGAGATGCCACTACAACTTTATTTAAAACATCTCAAAGGAGAACGACTATATATTTTATTATGTTAGGCGAGAGAAAGCAGCTCCTCCTTTTTATTCATTTTCCTGATCTGCTAGGAAACCTGGCTCCATGTTTACAGCATACTAATTCATGATACATCTAGGTTTAAACATTTATTTTCGGAGTACATCTCATGTATCACCTTGGTTCTATCAATTTAGTGCAATTAATGATACTCAGATACTTATACAAGGGTGTTTGTTGTATGGTGTTCACAACGTTAGAATTGGAATAGTTATTTGATTCTAATTGTTTGGTTGGGCGGAATTTGGAATCCCACTTTCATTCCTTCTGGAATGGTATATCCCTATTTGAGTGCCTCTCCTTTAGGACTGAAATCTCATTCCTGCTGATTTCAATTCCTATCTTTTTATTCTTGTCTGAGCTAAACAAATTATGGGAATAAGCTATTTTGATTCCGATTCCAACTGCAATCCAAACAGACCCAATGGCTCAAGTTGAGCATTTAATAGATGATCGTCTAGTAATCGATATGGTCACTTGATACCCCTCCAATCCAAATAGGAGGTCGTGTGAGGATCAAGCCTGTGGAACTATAGACTCTCTGTTGAATGGCCGGACCCCATGCCCATTCTATCCCCATGTACTGTATGTAATGCCAAAAATAAAATTTGAATTGATTTGGCCTAGGGTTATTTGAATTAATACCTGATTGGGATGCTTACAGTTCGGTTAATCGAACTGTGGGGTATTTTTTGAAATCGAACCGGTACTATCAGTTTTTGAAAAACTGGTAATCATAATCAAATCGAAGCCAGTTAGTTAACCAGTTGAATGGTTCAGTTAATCATTGGTTTTGGTTTGTCGGTTTTTCGGTTATTTAGTTTTTATAATATATATTATAAAATATATATAATATTATATTATAAATAATAAATAATATATTTTAAATATATATTTATATATAATGCATATTTATTAATTTATAATATATAAAATATATATAATATACATAAATATATATAAAATATATAGAAATATATGTATACCGGTCGGTTCAATTAACTGCCGGTTTTTTATATTTTTTATATTGGTTAATCGAAACCGAACTAACTGGTTCGATTAACTGATTTTTCACTTTGATTTTTTTGCTCACCCCTATTACCCGACCCCACTCTGGTGGCAGTGGGATTTGATTCTAGTCTAGAGTAAGAAAAATTACCAACTGAGCCACTATTAGGAAACCGGATCTGCTCCTCACATAGGGTGCCTCACACCGACCTCATATGCACATCCTATCATGCATTAGGAACATCTCCCATATTTATAAATTATTATTCATAGGAACATCTCCCATATTTATAAGTTATTATTCATGTGCATTGAGAACATCCATTAATTGGTTCTGAGGCTATGGTTCTGAGGCTCCCTGTGTGAGGAGCAGATCCCGTTCCCCACCATTAATTGGTTCTAAAGGACATTTTAGGGTAAAGATATGGTAAAGATGTACCCCTTATGAGTAGGAGACCGTATTCCAAATCTCCAATCCAAGAAGGATTGGTGAGGAGAAAATACCCTAAAACTGATTGCCCAATCAATCCCCAAAGAAAACTAATCTGAATCGGGATAAGACAAAAGTCTATGCATCAGATTGTCAAAAGTGGCTTCCTTTCGAGTTCTTTCCATTACTTTGGTCCAAACTCCAGACTCATGCAATGACTGACATTTTTGCACCTTGATGATTTCAGGGTTTCTTTTAAATAAGAAATTCTACAATGAAGATACCCTCATCATAAGAGGAATGAGGTGCCCTCCTAAGCTGGCAAATCTACCTGAGTAAAGAAAATCAGGGCCCCCCATCAGATGGTTCTCACATTAAAAAGTACTTGATCAGGAAGTCAGGACTCTGATGGTGGATAAGTTACCATCAGAATTCAATAAAAAAAAAAAAAAAAAAAAAAAAACAATAACCCACAAAACAGAGGTTCATTGTTAGCTTAGCTGTTCATTTTATATTTGTTAGAATCTTTTAGGTGAGATCCATGCACCTCAGTCCAGAATGGTAGGGGTAGGAAAAATACAAAAGGCTATCTCTTTCGATTCTTCTTTTCTTTGTTTAGTACGTAAGAAAGAGAGAATGAAAGCACCACCAAACCCTGAAAAGAAAATGACACCTTACGATTCAAAATTTCAAGTCTATCTCCCCGTGGGTCGCTTTCTTATTCCCCTGTAACAACGATACATGGAAGAAAAGAGCTACGTTGATAAATACCTTTCATGTAGTCCTGGGCCTCCGGGGTTGCTTGTGCTGAACGGATTCATAAGTTCTGTTTACTTCTTGTTTCAGGTACCAGATTTCTTCTGTTTGGTAGTTTACCATCTCTATGACACCATAGCTCTTGCCTATTTCTCCATTAATTGTCTTACTTTTTCCTTTCAGTTACTGGGTATTCTCCCTCTTCTGCTGATATTTAATCAGTATTGGAATCTCTCAGAATTTCTTCGTTTTGGTACTGTAGAGGTTGTGGCCCCGGTTTGCAGTGTTTTGAAGTAGTCACAAGTTCATTTAACATTTTGCCAGGTGATTTCAAATGGGTGTCACGGATTTCTGTTCTGAGAATTAAATGAAGTTTATTGAGCCTTGGGATCATCTATAGCTGCTTCTGTTGCATGCATTTATTTGAACATAGGGTTCATAGCAGTGTATTCTACACATTTTCGTTCTTGTAATTTTGAATTCAGTAGCTGCAGATCCGCTGAGGGATTTAGTTTGAGTTTTGGAGGCTTTGTTGAAATCTTGAATGTATGTACATAGAGTATCTTTGATTCAAGGGATTATTCTATTGAATTCTGATTCTGATCAAGTTCAAGGAATTTGAAGGTTCAACATTTAAGGAACCAGTCAGAGTTTGATTTCAGTTTACTTGGTTGTTTTCTGGTTAGGTTCATCTGAAACAATGAGGATGTCTAGAATTCTGTCATGTGCTTCAGGTTATTCGACTGGGATTCTGGTTTTCTCCATTGGTTTAATTGTGTTTGGAGCTTCCAGCTCTTTCCTTCAAATTAGATTCTCGAATACAACTCAGGAGTTTCAGATCCCTACTAGAGTTCCAAAGAAGGGGCCTGAGTATCCCCCAATTTTTTCTTATTGGATTTCTGGTACTAAGGGAGACAAAGACAGGATTTTGAGGTTGTTGAAGGCAGTTTATCATCCCAGAAACCAGTACCTTTTAAATCTTGACGCCAGTTCATCATATTTTGAAAGGAGGAGATTAGCCCTGTCAGTTGAATCAGAAAAGATTTTTCAAGCTTTTGGAAATGTGAATGTTGTTGGAAGAAGTCAGGCAGTAGACCAGATTGGATCCTCTGCTCTTGCAGCCATGCTGCATGCTGCAGCATTACTACTTCAGATTAATAGAGATTGGGACTGGTTTATTACATTAAGTGCATCTGATTATCCACTTATAAGTCAGGATGGTAAGATACTAATTAAAATCCCTACTTTCATTCTAATGTTTCTGCTCACTACTGTTTTGGACAGATTTGAATCTATGTTTCTTGTAACACATATAGGATATAAAGATCTACTTTAATTTTCAGAGCATGTTTGTGGTTACCAACAAACAGTTATGTTCATCCCAACTCTTTACAAACAACCCATTCAATTGAATCAACTGCCTCATGTGATCAGCTATATATGTTTTCCAGGTCTAGTTCTTCCATCTTGATTTAACATTTCTGATTATTTAATCGTTTTCTCTCTGTTGAGTTTCCAAGGTTGAATAGATTCTATTCAGTTTTATCAATCAAGTTGATCTGGTGAATTATCAAGAACTTGATGAAGCAAGCTTTGCACTCTGTTTTGATTTCTTTTCTATGAAAGGAACCCATATATGTTTTTCAACTTAGGGGGTGTTCTACAACTTTTGATTTTTTTTTTTCTACAAAAGGAACCCATATATGTTTTTCAACTTAGGGGGTGTTCTACAACATGAAAGTTTTTGTTTTTATTTGTTTTTGAAATTGTCACATTAGAAAATAAACAGAACATGTTTTTGAACTGTATTTTTGTTTTGAGAAGTAAAAACAAGTTAGTTTTGTTATAAAAAACAAATCATGTTTTTGAAACCATCAAAATGATGGCTTTAAAAAAAATGGAGTATATATATTGTATGATTTATGAAAGATGATGAGACTTGACAGATCATTAGATGAAAACATGTTTTCCAAAGCAGCAACTCAAGAACACATTTTATTTCTGTTTTGAAAACAAAATATACATACACAGCCATGAACATGTTTTTTGTTTTAAGAACCAATTTGTTATTAGACTCACAACAAGAAAAACATTTCACATTGAAGAAAACCCACTTTTTTGCACAAAGTGGCAACCGTTAGAGTCAAACCTGTGTTCTCGTGCTTACCAGCAAAAGATTTTACCATTACACCAAGTAATGGCCCCTAATAGGGGTGAGCATGGATCGGTTTGGTTACATGGCAGAACCTGGAACCTACCCTGTAGGGGTCAGTTCTTGCCTTGGTGGTTCCAGGGTCTACCTATGGAATCTATTCTTTCTTTACTCTCCCCCTTCAAAAAAATGGCATGTTCTTTTAAAACTTGATTTTCAATAAATATAATATATAGTTTAAAACTTATAACATCATTATTTATTAAACTAAGTAATTTAATATGTAGATTATCAATAATATATTGATATATGGTTCAAAAATTATCATTATAATTTAAATTTTGTAAATATTACCTTTTGCGTTACTTATGTATACATTTAAATTTTAAAATGAAAACAAATGATCAAATCACTTAGTTACTCAATGGTCAAGTGAGACCATGGCCTTTGTAACCATGAGTGCTTCCCTGCTTGGGTTCAAATCTTTACACCCTCAAAAGTATTTTGTGGTCTATTTCAAGGCAAATTCAGTTCCAAGGTCAGTTCCACCAAGGCCGGTTCATCGGGTCGGTTCAGGTAGGGTAAACCCCTAGACACTGGAACCGGCCAGGGTGGGAGTTGGTTCCAAGAATTTGAAACCAGACCCTACCCTGTAACAGATTAGATAGGGTCATTTCAAGGCTGGTTCGAGGTCAGTTCCAAGTAGAACCTACCCATTTTCTCACCCCTAGCCCCTAATGCTTTCGTGTTAGATCATCCTTAATTTTCTTCACACTTCATCTATGATTCTCAAGATAAACCTTAGCAACATTTTACCACATCTTTCACTGTTGTTAATATCCATCAACCTGGATTATAATTATGCTAAGAACCATCTTCTGCTTCTTTACAGACCTCCTTCATGCCTTTAATTCCTTGCCTAGGGATATGAACTTCATTGATTACACCAACAAGACTGGGTGGAAAGAGTAAGGACCAACTACTGTAAAACTTTAGAAGTGTTTTTCCATTGAGGTTGTCTAAGGTGCCTCGGTAGATTGTTTAATGATGTAATGGTACACAGTGGCTGGCATACATGCAGGTTAATCCAACAACAAATTTCATAGGCTACAAAATAACCTGATTGGATTACTAAAATCTTCTGTATATGTAAGCTCCCCCATTTATCCTCATACAGAAAAGCTATAGTCATCTGACCAAAATAACTTTCAGGCTAGAGATGTCATGTAGGTGAAAAGAGATATTCAATAAATCCCACCTCGCATGTTTGCCACATGAATGCTACATTGTGTACATTACATTTTCTCTTCTCTGATTGCTTGACTACTTTTCAGAATCTACAGTGTGAACTTACATGGTGCAGGAGGCAAAGGATTAACCAAATTGTCATAGACCCAAGTCTTTACTTTCAAGAAAACACACCAATTTTCCATGCTTCAGAGACTCGAGAAACCCCAGATGCCTTTAGGATCTTTGGAGGTCAGCCTGCAATATCTCCAGTAGGTTTCTACAATAAAATAGATATTTACATTCTCATGAACTCGGGTTTATCTCTGAACAGGTTCTCCATGGTCCATTCTCAGCAGAGCTTTCATGGAGTACTGTGTACATGGGTGGGATAACCTCCCAAGAAAACTACTTATGTATTTTTCTAATGTAGAATACCCTCTTGAATCCTACTTTCACACGGTACTCTGCAACTCTGATGAATTTCAGAACACCACTCTGAACAATGACCTGAGGTTCATTCTCTCAGACACCTCTCCACATGTGGAACCACATTTCCTTAATACATCCTACTATGAGAGGATGGTAAGGAGTAAGGCAGCTTTTGCGAGACCATTTCAGGATGATGATCCAGTGCTTCAGAAGGTGGATGAAGATATCCTGAGGCGCCGATCAGATGGATTGGTCCTAGGAAGCTGGTGCCTGGATATAGGAATGAATCAGAGTGTGAAAGCTAACATTGGAAATCTGACTTCAAAGGAAGATTCCTGCTCAGGTTGGGACAACATTGATGCTATTAATCCCGGCCCAGATGGAGTGAAGCTTAAAGCTTTTGTTTCCAAACTTGCTGCAGAAAGGAGGCTACAATCAAACCCTTGCAATCAGCAGTGATGGTCATAAACCTAGCAGCTTGGGTGCAGATTTAATTGAAACAGAAATGTGATAAATCCCAGCAAAATAATAATACCCAATGCATACTAATCATGTAGTCAAGCAACAGGTCAGGAACAATGATTTCAATGTAATCAAGGCAGAGTGATTTTCTCCTGTTCTGTTACTTAGAGACGGGTGTAGTTGATTAATTTGATCTTAGTACAAATAAGTAGGTTTAGTTGAATTGTTTCTGACATGAATCCTAAAATTGTAGATGAGGGCATGAACCAAACAAGCATAAGAGCTGATCCTCCCCACCTAATCAAAGAATTCAATTTGCTCCTAGAAGTGTTTGGATGCAGTGCAAATCTGAACCAGATACAAATTTTGCACCCAGTTTAGTTTTTCATCTGTTTGTTTGTTACTATAATTTGCACTGTTATCTGCTATAAAATTTGTACTTTTTGCATCTCAAAAATCGATGCAAAATTTGCACCACCTTCCTCCTCAATTCTCTCTCGTATAAAGTGGTGTGGGATCACATCGTCTTGCTCCTACCTCACTCCCAAACAAACAATCCTCCTACCTCCATTCTCTTGCATATAAGGTGGGATCATACAATTTTGCTTTCCACAAACAAACAAGACAAGATTAAATCTGAAGCAAAAGTAAACCGGAATTTATATTCAACCTATTTGCACTTCCATGTACTTACACTAAATTTTGTATTACAGAAGTACACAAGAAACCTTGTGTAAATTTACCCACCACCTGGACGAGAAAGCAGTTCCAAGTTGGATTTTAAAATACTAGTAGTTGTTCTCATGTGGGTTCACAACTTGGGTAACTACCAGTATTTTGTTGTAATCTTATGTAACAAATACATGTACATGATATGAATACAAAAACAACCAGTGCAAAAGTTGCATTCAACAAACTTTGGTACTTCTATCTTTCCTCGATAACAACTAATAAATCTAGGATGTGATGGCTCTTATTTGTCTGAATTCAATGACTCTTGAAAAGAGCTAATTTTTGATAGGCCATAAAACTATGCCTACTTTATTTTTTGTATTGCTGTTATTGGGAACTAATCCTTACAGTGTAAGTTCAAAAAATGCAAATGCTTTCTTTATATAGCAAAACAAGGTTAGATCTTTTCAGGAGTCATTCAATTCAAACAAATAATAGCTATAACATATAAAAAAAAAAAAAAGCATTTGTATTTTTTGAACTTACACTCTAAGGATTAGTTCCAATAATTGCAGTACAAAACAAAGCAAGCATAGGTTTATGGCCTAGAAAAAAAAAACACAAGGTTAGATCTTTTGAAGAGTCATTGAATTCAGATAAATAATAGCAATTACATCCTAGTTTATTAGTTGTTACCGAGAAAATACAAAAGTATCAAAGTTCGATTTGATGAAACTCAATACAACTTTTGCACTGACTGTTTTTGTATTTAAATCATGTACAAGTATTTGATACATAAAATTACAATTATTTGAATTCAAATAGTAAGTTAGAACAAAATATAAATAAGTCATGTGTTGAAGTCGACATTAAACATGGTGTTTCTTGAGATGTACAACGCACTAGACGATATATGTGGAGGCATTTATAATCTTTATGCATCAAACTATAACCCTAAACATGCACTTTGCTTACTAAAACTTAAATTTGGTGTGGTTATACGGGTGCAAATGTGGGTGATAAATGCAGACAAGTATCCAAAGAAATGTATAATTAGGTTAAGATTTACCTAAGAATTGTCATGGGGAAATCATCTCAATGATACTAATAAGAAAAATAGTTACCTCAAAGGCATTGTATCATTTGCGTTCGAGCTATTGAAGCAATGGGCATCGATGTAAGACTAGTTTCTACAATATAATGATTTTGTTTATACTAAAGTATTTTGCTCGTGAATGTAAGGGCAAGACCTACAACAGCTAATATCCAAAGTTTGTAGGATGGACTGTAATGGACAACATTATTCGATCCCCTCATTTAGCTATTTGTAGAGTTTTAATTTTGTAGCTTAAGAGATTATCAACCAAACACTTAAATTGCAAGAATAATGATACAAGTTGAAATTTTTTTTGGCATGGGATAAATCCAAATAAATTTTCTATATGTATCAACAAATAATAAGAATAGTGAAAACCATCTATTATGGGGCAAGAAGCAAGACCCCAAACATTAGAGACATCAAAGTATAGCAACTCTAAAAAACTATAGACACTTGTAGTGGTAGAAATAAAGGGAAGGGAGTGACTCTTCCCAAGAGGACGCAAACTGCAAAATGATAAAGATTTATTTGTAGCAAGCAATCCAAAAGTGGACATGAAGGGTGATTCTTGAATCAAGATATCTAAGCCTTTGGCACCAAATATTCATAGATGTGCAATTCCCAACAAATTGTGAAGGATCCAATGTTTTATTTACTATGTAGAAGTGGTCTTTAATTAATACAATCCATCCTTAATCAGCCTCTAAGAAAGAATTTTTCTTATCACATTGTCCTTAATAGAAAAAATTAAGAGTATCAAATAAAAAAAAAAAAATTCATTATTATCCTTGCAAAATTGACTGATAGATAAAAGACTTTTAGTGATGTTAGGAATGCATAAGATATTCATATGAACAATATAATAAATAGGAAGACTCTAATCATTACAAGTAGTAATTTGATTGTTGCCATGACAATTATCGTGCATAGAAAAATTATCAATATATGATTTTAAATAATTGGTTACCCCATTGTAAGCATAGAAGGTAAGGTTATGGGAAGGTCTACCTAAAAGATGGTAAATGGCTCTAGTGATTAGGGAGAAAGGGTGATTGTAGGCTCAGAAAGGCTAAGGTTTTAGAGTGATAAGGCTTCCGTAAGGATTCTTAAAGACAAAGGTGAGGAGAGCCTTGGGCATCTTTTATTTATAGATGCAGATACATGAGGAAGGGAAATTTTCCAAATCGGGAAAATTTGTTAGAATTTTGTTATATCTAAAATAGGAAAGATGTTTGGGGCATCACCACGTGTCTATGTAGGGATCCCGAGATCTAGGTTCCTACCCTTCTCCTCAGGGTCCTTTGCGCATGAGCACTAGTGTAGCTATTGCCCCCTTTTAGAATCTAGCTAGCCTAGTTATGTTATAGGAATGCTTTCTTCCTAAAAGCGCCTTGTATTGAGTTCCATCTTACGATGGGCGATAAGGCACTATGGTAGTATCACGGGATGAGTATAATAAAGTTGTAATGTTATGTTGTTGTGATGTGATACTAAGGCAGGATGTTATTGTGATACAGGTGATATGAGGTCAAATCATGAAACAAAGTTGTCATGCAAGAAACCTTTTCATATCGCAAAATTTAATGCGAGTTGTGATTTTGTGGTTTTCTTGAAATAAGGGATTGTGATGATGAGTTTGAGGCTTAAAATATACTTTGGCCAACCCCCCTGCTTACTAATATAAGTAATTGTTAGTAAGCACAACCTATCGTTACATTGAAAAGAAAATTGGGTGTAATCATTTTGTTGTTTACTTGTTCTAATGTAACCCCCTACTTATTGAGTATTTTTGTCAATAAGCAATGTATGAATATTGTGGTTGCAATATGGATGAGTACTAATTGGGTTGGGTGTACAATGAGAAACCCCCTATGTGTGAGAATGTTGCAAATATTTTGATACGATGCTTGGTATTATTGATGGAATATTTTGTTTGATTAAAGGCATTAAAAAAAGGAGCCATTAATGCAATGAAATGATTAAGTGTTGTTGTGACAACTCATTAATCATGTAAGCACTAAATGATTGTTAGATTTATTATGTATAGGCCTACTTTGTAATTTTAAAAACCAAAAACCCCAAATTATAAATTCATAGGTGCACTCCATTTGCCATTGTGACATGTGGTGCACTACACATGCCCAATGTCTATTTAAATGACTTGGAGGTTAAGGAACCACCCATTTCATTCAAATGACTCTTGGCCTTTCATTTTCCCACACATTACCATTTACTATGTTCTTTGTGTTGTCTGTCTTCTCCATCTCTAGTAACTTTTTAACCAATAGTAAAAATCATGGTCAAGAGTGAATCAACTTCCACTACTATCATTGTATCAATTCATTCCTTCAAGTTTGGATAATTAAGAGGTCGGTAAGGGGTTTTATCCTCCTCTGCCAATTTCCATGGAGGAAGAAAACCGGTTTGATGTCATTGAGGGGCAGGAGTTGTTGTGCTTCTATTATGTATTTCAAGAGGAAGCCATCTTCCTTTGCCAAGAATTTAATGCATATGAGTACACAAGATGAATAAATTGGACTCCAAGCAGTCGTATATTCTGTAAGTTCTTACATTCTAGTGGTTTACTTGTTTCAGTTAACTGTTTTAGGGTGATGGCAAAAAAAAGGGGGTAGAGTACATGTAGCCTCTTCTAGCTCATTAATGTTTGAGGACACATACCTTTTGGGGGAGCTTTCAGGGAATTTAGGATTTCATCGAAGGATGTATCTTCATTGTTGACACTACACACAATAGGAGATTTTACTCTAGAGTAGCTACAAAATGTGGGTTATTCACCAAAGGAGTTTATCCCCGCTTTTGAAAAGATGTAGAGGAAAATTAGCGCATTTAGGGCTTTATCGGCAAACACAACTACAAGGGCAAAGGTCCCTCTTTCAAAATGGTTGAAATTTTGGTACAACATAGAGGATGACAACACTGCAATTGAAGGGGAAAGTAATTAAAAGCAATTGTAAGGGAGATTTTGCTGCCCATGGCAAATCTTGTTGGGACTAGGTACAAAATCCCATTTAATTTTTATGTTTCTTGGAAACTTAAATTACTAGTTTGATGACATCGTGCATAGACCTGTTCATGGGCCGGGTCGGGTCGGGCTTTCACTTGTCACTAATGAAAATATACTAGGCCCGAGCCCGAGCCCGGCCCGACCAACGGGCCTATAACTTGGGCCCGAGCCCGGCCCTGGTAAAAAGCTCGAAGCCCGAGCCCGAGCCCGAGCCCGAAGTCCGACCAAATTGAAAAAAAAAAACAATTTTCCCTATTCAAATTAGAATTAAAATTTCAGATAAGTATTTTTTTTCTATTTAAATGAACAATGGGCCTACAAGATGGTATTTTTCCCTTTCTTTTATATTTTAAAACACAATTTTACATTCTTAAATCAAAAAAAATTATTCAAATAGACATAATCACATAAATAATTTTAAGTTTGATATTAGGTTGGGTCGGGCCGGGCTCGGGCCGGGCTATTTTGACAAAACCCGAGCCCGGCTCAAATTTATTGCG